GGATTCGACGTTTTCCCAACTCACGACTCCACCAAAATTGAGCAACCATTTGACTCAACTCCTTACACAGCGTCTTGGGAGTAAGAATGTTTGCATAGTGTACAACAGCACTGCTTGCGCCACAATTTTTATCAAAATTTCCTTCCCCGCACTACTCAATAAGCTTCCTCTCCACCCATTAAGCTTTTCCCACAATTGATCTTTCAAGCAGGCAAAGGTTGCTTTCTTAGCCTTACCCACATAGACTGGTAGTCTGAGATAGCGGTCATGGTACTCCACCCTTGCCATCCCTAAGCAATCCGCAAACAATTGGCCGTCATTCTCATTGAGATTTTCACTAAACGCCATACAGCTTCTGATAACTAACCACTTGCCCAGATGCATTCTCATATACCTTTAATAGGTGTTTAACCTCTAGACATTCTTGTAAAGAGCTTCTCACAAAGATGAAGCTATCATCTGCAAATAATAAATGGTAGACACTAGGCACCTCCTTGCTTACACAAACCCCTTTTAATCGTCCTTGTCTCTCCCAAGCCTCAAACAACGTTGACAAACCTTCAGCACATAGCACAAATAAGAAGGGTGATAATGGGTCCCCTTGTCGTATACCTCTCTTTGGATGTACATATCCCACAGGCTCACCATTAAGCTTAAACGATTATGTGACAGTGGTGACACACATCATAACCAGAGAAATCCAACCCTCAGCAAAACCTAGCTTCCTCATCATTTGTTCCAAGAAACTCCATTCAATACGATCGTAAGCTTTACTAATATCTAACTTCAATGCCATCACACCATTCCAACCACTCTTTTTCGTATGCATATGGTGAGCAATTTATGATGCCACTAGACAATTATCCGATATTACTCGTCTGTGTACAAATGCACCTTGAGTAGGTGAAACAATATCCCGTAAAATGCTCTTCAACCTATTAGTTAGGACTTTGGAACATACTTTGGAGCAGATTTTGTATATGACATTACAGAGACTAATGGACCGAAGTTGGGTCATCAACGTGGGGTCCTTGTTCTTCGGCATAAGGGTCAAATGAGTGAAATTAATTTTCCGTAACATACCACCCGAAGACAGGAGAGACCGAACTCCATTACAGACATCCTGACCCACAATTTCCCAATGTTTCTGATAAAATCCAGCCGACATGCCATCCGGCCTTGGGGTCTTTGTAGGGTGCATTTGAAAGAACGCAAACTTTATCTCCTCATTCATAAACGGTAATAACAGTTCACAATTCATTGCTTCCGTCACTTTGGGTACTACATGATCAAGGATCAACGACGCGTCATTTTGCCCCTGCGAGTCAAACAACTTCTGGAAATACTTCACAATAATATTCTCCATACCTTTTTTTTTATCCTCATGCCATACTCCATTTTCATCAAACAGCCCACATAATGCATTCTTTCGTTATCTTCTGTTAGCTTTCTAGTGAAAAAATCTAGTATTTTGATCCCCTAGTTGCATCCAATTCTCCCTCGACCTTTGACGCCAATATGCTTCCTCCTAAGAAAGTAGCGAGTGGAGACGATTATAGAGATCTTGTTTTGGGCAATGGATGTCTCTGTGAAAGGTTGCCCAAATAAAGAGTTTAACTTATCCTCCGTTTCTGCAATTTCCCCCGGAATGGATCTTGCCGTACGTTTCACCCATCTGAGCAACTGACATCTCGTGGCTTTTATTTTATTTTATTTTTGTCACCTGAAACATACGGGAACCTGAGAACGTCGACTCCCAACCTACCCTTACTGCTTCGGTACAACTCTCCTACATCGTCCACCCTTCTTCATATCTAAACCCCTTCTTAGCTCTTGTTCTTCTCTTTATCTTTCATTCCAGTAAAACCGGAATATGATCGGATGACGTAGGTTTCAAATGACTCACCCGGAATTGCAGAAACAAATCCAACCATCCTTGATTAGCTACAGCTCGGTCCAAGCGTACTCTAATTCCTCCTCTACGTGTAGTTTCCTAAGTATATTTATTTCTTATAAACCCCACGTCCTAAAGCTGGCAATTTGTTAATACGTTTTTGAAGCCCTCCATTTGTCTCTCATTCCTAATATCACCCCCTTCCCATTCATCTGTTCTTAGGACTTCATTAAAATCACCTACACAACACCACCGTAAGGATGAGTAGGCAAGTAAACGTTCTAGCAAACTCCAATATTTATGATGGTCTGTCTCCGCTGGGTAACCATAAAAGAAGGTAACTCGCCAATGTCGTGGGTCACCCAAACCACCCACCTTAAAATCCAAGTGATTGTTAAAGTAGATTCTAAGCGAAAGGTTGGCCTCTTCTTTCCACATTGCATATAGGCCACCTGATCTTCCTCTACTTGGTACAGTAAATATAAAGTCAAACTCTAATTGTGATTTCAGTTTCTCCATATGCTCCATCGAGCTTTTCGTTTCACACAAGAAAATCACAATGGGAGCTTTGAAGAGAACTAGTCTCTTAAGTGCACGAATTGCATGGAGGTTCCTAAGCCCCTGGCAATTCCAGCTAATGTAACTCATTGCTCTTGGTGGGGCTGATACTCAGTTAACCTCCGTCGTTGTACAACTCATAGAATCCATCACAACCGACACTTTCTTCGCTGCAGGTTCAATCTTCTCTACCCCTTTTCTCACGGGTAGTTCTCTTTCCAAGTTTAGGTCCCTTTCTAAACGCCCATTTTGTCTTTTTTCTCCCCCTTTCTCTGCATCATTCGTCCCTTTGTGTCTGTCCTTGCATAGTGCCCTCATGCTTAAAGATAAAGGGATCCAAATTAAAATAGTCCGAGCCCAAAGACCACTCAGTCTCTGCCCTTGAGAATTAGAGCACTCTCTCCCACACCATAAAAGAAGAACAGACCCCCTGGGAGTCAACTGTCGTCGCCACTAAATGACTAGCACAGCCTTGGATTGGAAATCACATGAATTCTGTTGAAGTCGCTCAGTGCTTTCCTAAGGTTTCTAGGGAGCCTTTTTTGAACGGATTGTAGAATTTTGCTATTTTTGAGGGTAGGTATGCAAATGGGATGATGAAAATTGAATTATTAATGACTCCACATTTTGAAAATTGAAATTTAAAATTCTTAGCCATCGTAACCTAACATATGTTTTTCTTGTGAATAGCCAACTCAATTTTTGTAAACCACCATGGGATGGCACAATGATTGAGGACGAACTCTAGGCCCGTATTCCACACGACATGCTCTCGGTTCGATTTTTACTGCTGGTGAATCTTACGATGGTGGCCAAAGGAGGCTGGAATGCCTCTATGAGTTTTCCAAACCCCCGGAAAGATGGACTGCCGTGTCAAAGCCACCAAATGGTCCCCTTTTTAAAGAAGAAAATAAAAACCTCAATTTTTGTAATTGTAGCATCGCCATACTTTGTTAAAGAAAATGTGGAAGCTAACTCTTTCTTCTAAGGTTAAAATGTTTGCTTGCTTATGATTCAGGAAAGATTGCAAACCAGAAAACGCTTAAGTCATTTTGTTAAAAATATTGATAAGTTATGTTTGTTATGTAATATAGCCGAAGAAGACCAATGTCATCTCCTTTGTAATTGTCATTTCACTACTAAAATTTGGAGCTTAACTTTTGGTATTTGTAATAGCATTATTATTATGGGTGAATTACCAATTTAGTCCCTAAATTATCACCTGAATCAAAATTAGGTCCATACACTATTTTTTTCAGAAAAATCAGTCTTTGAATTATAAAAATATGCCAATTACATCCCTAATATTATATTTGAAGCTACTATATTCAATTTTCCATTAATTTAAGTTACCTTACTTTCATGTGATATACAATGGAAGGTAGATTGGTAATTTTTCATAATAAAAGAGTGTATGGAGTTAACTTTGGAGGGTAAATTAGACGTTAGATTCACAACCTATATGAAATGTTAAGGGTTTATAGGTGAGAAAATGACGATATTACACTCTAAAGTGTGGCAAGTGAATTAAGTTGACGAAAAATTGGATAAAATAGTTTTGAATATAGTAGTAGGGACGAAATTAGCAATTTTTAATGAACTTAGGAACTTATTTTATCGAAAAATAATTCATAGACCTAATTTTCATTAAGGTGATAGTTTATAGACTAAATTGGTACTTCACCCTATTACTACTAAGGGTAATGATAACTTTTTTGATTGGCTAGAATCCTTAAGTTTAATGACAGACGGCCTCTCCGATCTTAGTGAAGTAATTCTGAATTGTTGGCAAATTTGGACGGAAAGAAATAACTTGGCATTCAAAAGTGTGCCCCTGGTTGCGACGTGTTGTGTTTCTATCATCGGTAGTGTTGGTTCGACTTTTCTCAAGGCTAATGCATGTGTCGCCCCAAGGAGGCTTTACCTATCTCTTCCTCTATTAAATGGCATCCTCCTGACCAGCACGATGTGATTAAGCTTAATTTGGTGGTTCTGTTTCGAACAACCATGCAGCTACTTCCTTGGTAGCTGAAGTGATGGGTTTGCAGGTGATATTTTGGTAGCTGCTTCCTTGGCACGATGTGATTACAGGTGATATTTTGGTAGCTGAAGTGATGGGTTTGCAAGGCCGTCTGCAATGTGCTAGGCGCAAGGGTTTCACTAAAATAATGGTGGAGAGGGATTTAAAGCTCATCATTGAAGCTATGCAAGGTCATTGGGGAGTTCCTCAAAGAGTTAGCTCTATCATCAACGATATTCGTGTCCTTTGTCATATTAGTTGGAAGAACATTTTCAAAGAGGCAAACTTTGTAGCAGATGCTTTAGCTCACCTTCGTTTCTCCCTCTCGAATCCTCATTTTTGGGATTTCTGTTTACCTAATGTTGATTTTCTTGCCTTTAATTTTGATTGTATTGAAAACGGTTATACTAGAAGTTCCGTGCTTTAATGAATTTCTTTGCATAAAAAAAAATAAAAAAATAAAAATCTAGAGCCCGATAGAAGCACTTTTGGGAGGACTAAAATATTTGAAGACAAATGCAACAAAAATAAAAAAAAATAAAAAATCACTAGTAGTAAACAAAATCAAATTACATTGTTCTTGGAAACTAAACATAAAGTTTGCCACTTGTCTTTCTTTTTTCGTGTAATGTAACAAAAAAGAAATGCACGTCTTCCCATCTTTCAAGCCCTCCCTGTTCTAAACCTATCAACTCCTTACACAATAGGGAACGGTGGACAAGAAAGAAACTGCATCCTTTTGATGCATGGAGACCAATTTTCACATCGGATAAAGATTAGATGGAGAATAGAGATTTATACCTACATTTTAAAGGAAAAGGGCTGTCAGTTGGACGCCGATGGCAACTGCCAAAAGTTTTTCGTTGCAACAAGGACTTTTTCTCTCCCGTGCGATTCTGCTTCTTTTTCATGTATGGTAGCAGTCCACCTTACGGCGCGAGCTATCCGAGCTATTTTTTCAATAACTTCAGGGGAGTCTCTAACCACAACGATTCCTTCAGGACGCAACATTCGATCCATCTCCACCATCAAATCCACCATGTTACATCTGCACAAAATCAATGCCTAATGGTTTAATACTTCTATAAGAATGTAGGAACCTGTAGATTCAGGAAACAGCTAGAACTCAGGGATGCCTTTTCAAGTAGAAGTACCTGTTCTTGGTTGAACCTTGATGTTTTATGAGTGATTCGATGCCAGTTACATGGATGAAGTCATACGAACGAGGGTATGTTGAGAAAGGCTCGCACCTAGGATGATCAAGCAGAAACGTTAGCTCACCAGTAGAGGTTTCCAAAACACTAATAAGTCGATAAAAATTAGCGAAAGCATATCATGATCAAAAGAGGACTCTAACCTAGAAATAGAATGCATACAGACTGGCACTAAAATCGACAATAGTAACGGTAACGGTTAAAAATAGTTTTTGCTATCTATTTTGTGCTGAAAGTTATCACTGCTCCATCAACAATTTACAAATAAACGGTATGATGGGGCAGGTTTAATGTTTTCTAGAAAGTAAAGCAGCTGAGAGAAGAGATATAAGAAAGACTTGTTGATGTGATAGTATGATACTAAATCAGGCATTAGAGCAGGATGACAAAAAAGGTGCACTCTTCACAGGAGTGAATTGGGGAGAGAACAATTGATAAGCTCCACCGCAGGACTTACGTGTGAAGCACTTGGGGTAAAAATACAACACTCACCAGTCATGGTAGACTCCAATAAGACCTCGATCAAATATTACAGAAAGAGTTGAGGACTTGCGGGCAGGAACAACATTCATCACCCACACAGGATCAGACTTCAGTGCAGCAGCAAAACCTCCAAAAAAGGCATTCATGTCCATGACATTGCGTACAGCTGGAGTTCCAAGCTTCAGGTTTAGGGTGTTCTTATAGTAAGCAACTCTTCTTGCCCAACGTCGTGTGTCCGCCTCAAACACGTCGATCCCATTTCTCATGACTGTGGCCCTTGCAGGAGCTTTTGTCAGCCTGTCCGGCCACTTTGGAATCATCCCAACAGAAAATTCTCCCTTGACAGAAGACGTTCTACTCACACATTTCTTTAACTTGTAGTACCTGCATAACAATTGAGTTTATTGGTACTGATCTCAGAACTTCTTTGAATTCGAGGTTTGCTGATACTATGATTGTTTATACAAGGTGCTGAAGTGGTTACACTACAAGAGCTAATTTTTGGCCTGATACATACAAGAGTTTGAAATATGATGACACAATATAAGATTTGTGAAAATAAAAAGATTTGGAAAACAATCACTTCATACTAACATAAAGGTTCCATTTTGGAGAAGGGGTTAAGAAACACTAAGAAACCAAGAACAGATTATTACCATGCATCACTTGCGTCGTCTGATTCATCACACAATTCAAGACCAAATTCGTTTTGGTTAGGAAGACATGAATCACCAGCAGGCTTTTTCCAGACAGCCGTGTTTCCATCCACAGCAATCAGCTCATAACACAATGCTCTTGTGACAGCTTGGAGATCTGCCCATTCCTTGTCTTGATTAGCCCATTGCACGGGAGGACCAGAGATTACTAGGTATCCTCCTGGGCGAAGTAAACGATCCACTTCAAGGAAATATGTGGCATCTGCGAAAATTCAGGTTCCTTTATGATAAGAGCAAGTATTGGGGGTGGAAAAAAATATAGCAGTATCAGAGGCTACAATGACAAAAACTCACTATAGGCAGTAAAAGGTATCAAACATCGAGAGCAATGAATCAAATCAAATGAGAAAGCAGGAAATGGAAGTCTGCGAGTGCCAAGCATGGCAACAAATGCTGGAATTCCTCTTTCAAGTGCAAAATGTATCTGTGACTTGTGTGAATCTCTAGGGGCAAAAGACATTGCCAAAATGTCTTTGGATAGAAGATAACCCCCAAAACTGGCAACCTGTAAAGAATCAAAATTTGTGAGATTTGAGAGGGAAACTAGTGTGGTCTCCATGAAAAGAGGAGCACTGTTCTTACCCCACAACCCATGTCAAGAGCAGTTCGCAGAACGCCATCACTGATGGGGATGTACTGTCCAAGTTTTTCAATATATTGTATAGCTCCATCAGGAAACATGGTGCCACCGCCAGGGAAAATGAAATGTGGGCCTTCCAGTTTCATCCATCCCTGATGACCTTTCCTGTCTGCAATTTTGTTGTGTGGCATGTTGTCGTGCCATATCTGTACACAACTACAGTATTTTAAGATATGTCGACACAAAACTAATGGTGATGCTTCAGGCTTTGATACATCATCAAATGAAAGTCATTCTATCTCCTGAAGTCGATACTGGACATATCTTCTGAAAGAAGATTCCCAACATCACAAAGGGTTTATCTCTTTATTTTCAATTAAGAAGAGGACTAAAAAGACAATCGCATTTGAAAGTCATCGGCAATTAAAACTCCAAAAGACAAGAAAAGCCTCACATAAGCAGTCCGTGTTTCACTTATTTAGTAGCTATTTCCAGTTATCTACAAGCTAGATGGATCTTAAACCAAAATTCAAGAACATCAAACCAAAATGTACAACACAGCACTTAAACTCTAAACATCACAGGGTTTTTGAGAAGCTTTAGTAGCCAGGGAGAGAATGAAGAGTTTGTATGCTGGGAGGAAAGGGCATTGCTAAAATTCATCAGCAATGAGCAAGTCAAGATTTGAATACTTCTAGCATATTACAAAGTTCGTTAGCTACAATGCACATATCCTATTTAAGAATCTATGTATTACACAAGTAACACAACTGTAACTTTAGTGGTTTGCATTCCTATTCCTAGCTCAAGAGCATGCATTGAAACAATTAACAAATTTCTCAGACCAAGCTTATCCACAAGCTCGGTTGGAGACATTCAACAGCTCAAACTTGCTGCACCACCTCTCATCAATAGATCCTCAAAGGCACCGTCCATTGAAAAATTCAAAATCATATAACAGCTGCAAATCTTAATTCAAAGTTCCAAACTTTCTATCACTCAGACACAAGTTTAACTACCGAAAACGAAACCGGGGATTAACCCAACAACCAAATTGATGAATTGAACGAACCCAAAATCACACAAACCTTGGTCAAGCTGTCGGGCCACGGGACCGGAATCTTGTAGCCATTGGGAGGTGGGATCAAGCAGAGAGGGGTCTCCTCGGGCAGAGGGCAATGCCTCTCTCTGTAAAAGTTCATTTCCCGACTTAACTGGCTGTTGCGCCGGGGGTCCTCACAGGGCATGTGGTCGACGGCATCGGCCGGGCAGGCTTCTATAGGCTGGTGGTGCTGCCCGAGCTCCACCAACGTCACTAAACGGTGCCGTTGCTTCGGATCGGCGTTGGTCGATAAGAGAAGAGCCTGGCGACCTGAGGCGGCGAGCGAGTCGCCCAAGGGAGTGAAGACTAAAAGGAAGAAGAAAATCACTATGCCGAAGAAGGCCGCCGAGATAAGGTCGAGGAGGCGACATTGCCTCGAGCTCCGTTTCGAGGCGGGCAGGTTCAGGTGACCCATTTGGGGTTCGGATCAAGGGGGTCCGGATCCGATTAAATTGGCATCCGGGTCCCAAAATGGACGAATTGGCTTCTGGGTTTTGAAAAAGAGGGGATTTTGAGTTGGGATGGGGAGAAATTAGGTCGGTAGATTGCTAGGGTTTATGTGTTGGAGGTGAGAGAGAGAGAGAGAGAGAGAGGGAGGTGGAGGAGTGCGAGACAAGTTGATGAAGATTGGGTGTGACAACCTCTGCTGTGTTGCGTAATGGTGGCTCTCCATTTTGGATGAGGATCCTCTACATGTATTTTTTGGGTCCAATACTATACAAGATTTTTAGTAAGGAGACAAGTTGATGAAGATTGGGTGTGACAACCTCTGCTGTGTTGCGTAATGGTGGCTCTCCATTTTGGATGAGGATCCTCTACATGTATTTTTTGGGTCCAATACTATACAAGATTTTTAGTAAGGAGTTTTAACGAAAAAAATCACGGTACTGTTTATTTGAATGAAAAGTTATATTTTTACACTAAAAAGTCAATCCTAATACTATTCACTTTACCCTTTATTTTGTCCTTATCATTAAAACTCAAAGTTTTCAAGTCCTTTTTCATTAGTTTTCTTTTTCTAATATGGACTCTCCAAAAGAAACCAACTGTTGTAACGCCATATATTTAATAAACCAGTTATAATTTTCTTTTAATTCACCAAACTTGAACATGACATGCCCACAAACCATTCTTTTTGTCATTTTTGTGAAAGCAAGCGTGCCAACACATAACTGAGCTCGGTCGACTAAATAGAATAAATGTGGCAGTGGTGTCAAATGCGTTGCTTGCCTTTGCACTTGAATGATTACGGTCGAGGAAGAACACGTCTCAGCCTTGGGTTCTAAAACCTAAAGACAAGGTTACTAGATCATTGTGAAGTTCAATAAACTTGTCCAACTTTCATTGCGTCGAACAACAAGGGGTAACTTGGTAACACCTCACTTTGTTAAGAGGATAATGACAAAACCTCTTTAGGTGAAAGAATTGGAAACTCTTTGTCCGCCGAGTCTTGAATAAGTAACTAACCATAAGCATTGTTGTTCACTTATCTGGACAGAAGGGGCTCCCAAATTGCCTGGTTCTACAGCTCCTGTCACACCCCGATCCCGACATACATCCAGAATCGAACGTGATGTCACCAAGTACCCGTATATCTAACATACCCAGCTTCTGGGATATGGACAAAGCATAACTCAAGATTCAAATTATGCAATCATTTTTCGTATTCTTTATGGTTACATCTAACCTCCTCGTTATACTGCCTACGTACCCTAAATAGAGATCAAGCCATTAAGAGTTCACCATTTGTTAAACTCTGAACTTTTAGTAAAACACTTACTAGCAGAAAACATAGAGTACCACACTACACATCAACCATAAACCAAACAAGAGTTGTCATCATGCCATTCACACACGCATGTGCGTTCCAACACCATTCCATAATCACATCAATCAACAACACATACAATACATCAAAATGCAGGGTTAGAGCAACATAGTTGGGCCGAAGCCTACATCTCTGAAGAATGTGATTTCAGACCACTCAACGAAATCCAACAACATCGGGTTCCAAACCACTCAACGGAACCAAAATACCAAGCGGGATTCTGAACCACTCAACAGAATCTAAACCAGGATACGATTCCGGACAACTTAACGGAATCACGAAGTACAATGGATATTGGACCATTCAATGAAATCTAAGGCATGATACGATTCCGGACCACTCAACGGAATCACAGAGTATGAGGGATTTCAAACCACTCAACGGAATCTAGATGGAGCAGGGAACCAGACCACGCAACGGAACCCCAGCGGAACCCAGTTCCAGACCACTCAACGGAACCGTGCGGAAGTCCAAGAAACATCTCAACGGCTCGAAGAAACAAGACATGAATCAAGTTATTCAATTCACGAAGGCTTAACGAAATGAAACAAAGCACAAGTACTAAATTTGGAACGGGTCAACAAAGCAAGAAATGAAACGATATCGAAGCAAAGAACCCGATGACAATGGGTTAACGATCCACTACTAGCCCTCACATTTCATCAAACAATTCATCAAGCACTTCAAATCACATTTCACAAATATCATCAATACACAAGTCAAATCACATTTAATAAACAGAGATCAATGGCTAAATATAAAAAAAAAAAAGAAAAATCACATTTCAATAGAAATCACATTTATAAAATCAAGTGATATCCACAAAGGGTACCAAATACGAAATCAGGGTAATAACCATATCACATATTTTAAAGTCACTCACTAACCAATGTAGGCCCACTAGACTTCACTTAGTGTCTAGTAGTACTAATTTCAGTATTTAAGAACGATTTGAAACATGTTGACCAAAAGTCAACTCTCTGTCAATGGTGGGTTCCACAACCCTACATAATTCGATTCAGAACGATCCAACGGTCGGATCTCCGCCAATCACTAAAATTAAGTGGCTGTCAATGTTTGGTTTTACAAACTTAGAAATTCAATTCAGAAAGATTCGTAAATCGGATTCTCGATCCATAAGTTCCTAAGGCCCTCAAATACTATGTATAATAACATATTAAAGTTTGGTAACGATCTAACGGTCAGATCGTCGATTGTTATAATGGTCAAGTGGCGGACCTTAATGAAAATATGTTCAAATGGTGAAATTTCGTCAATTGGATGTCAAATATAAAATTAGGATATCGCAATTAACCTAGAAAGACAAAGTTGGCCCATTAGCCACACGTTGCCGCATGTGGCGATTGGCCGCACCAATTTGCAGGAAAATTCACCTAACTCCAAAAATTACCAAATTTTACATAATTGTAGAACACAACAAGGGGAAGAACTTTCATGCCTAGGCTGAAGTCCAATTTGGCTGGAAAACACTTGAAATCACCATCGATCTACCAAAAACCTAAAAATGGGTGTTCTTCGATTCAAATTCCCTATTGCGCCGCCACCCCCAAAATTGTTTGGGGTTTGTTCCTGGGCTCGAGAGGAGTATTTTGGTAGTGGTGATCAATGGAAAATATTTTAGAAATGGCGGATTCTGCCATTGTGCACCTGCAAAACCCGTCGGTGCAATCTCACGTAATCGAGTTCAATTCCCTTTGGTTTTTGGGTGTAAATGGAAGAAGAACAATGGGGAATGTATTCTAGGTGGTGGCAAGCCTTGGATCGCAGGAAAATGCCGAAATCGACGTAGGGGAGTGTGGAGGAACCGAGTGGCGGAACCGGTCATCGGGTTAAGGGTTTTGAGATTCGGTTCCTCTCATTTTCTCCTTCCCTCCTTTCCCTCCTTTCCCCATTTTTTGATTGGGCAACACCCACTTATTTCTCTCATTTCCCTCTTCCTTCTCCAATCACAACCACACACGTGGCACATTAGATTTGGTGAAGCCTTCTAGATTAATGGTTAAATGACCATTTCGCCCATGTCTTTGCTTGTCTATAACTTCTTCCTTATAACTTCAAATTACATTTTGTTTGCACTCACGGGTTCGTATCAATGAGTATTATCCAAATATGTAAAGATAAGTGGAAAAATATGTAGGGATCAAATACGTCTGCGAAGAATCTTGTTTAAAACAATAGAAGCAATTTCGTCTTTTTACTTATAAAAAAAACTAGACTCCGTAAATATAAAAGCGTCGAAACTATGACTACGAAATACGTAATTTTAAATAGTGAAATCCAGGGATGGGATTTCACAGCTTCGGTGTTATTAATCCAAGCTGAAGATGTCACTGGTTGCCAACACAGTGTTGTTCACTTATCCGAATTGAATATGTGTTAACAGGAGGGTTATGATAGTTAGTGTTTTTCTCAAAAGGTGTAAGAATGGTATAGCGTAGAGAGAGGGGTTTCAGGAAGAGCGTTTAAGTTATCTGTTGAGTTGAAGGCGCTCTCTACATTGCAAAAACCTCTTGTATTTATAGGAATGAATTCTGTGAAGGTCAAGTCTACTGAATGACATAATTATAATAATATTCTGATTCTTTGGCATCTTCTTTGAATATAAGTGAAAATGTTCTTGGCCAAAACTCTATCGCCGCCAAGTCTCGTCGTCTTCGATTAGGACTCTGAACCTAGATTGATTCATCCTTTATTCGAAGACCAATCTTGATCCTCAAATAATTTTCTAATCCAACAGGCAACAACTTAGAGTGTAGGCAAAGGCGGAGCTACCATGGGCCTAGGGGGCGGATGCCCCCACTGAGATTTTTTCTGATGCTGGCATGCTGCTCAAATTGATCTGGTTTTGCAGCAGCAGAGCCCCCACTAAGATTCTTCTGGTTCTACTCCGATCTGGTTCTGCAGAAGCAGAGCTAGGTCTTTCTTTTTTTTTTTTTTTTTTTTTTTTTTTTTTTTTAAATCCAGGCCAAAACGACATCGTTTTGGTCTTGGTAAAAAAAAAAAAAAAAGAAAACAGTAAACGAAACGACGTCGTTTCATATGTTTCAAAAAAAAAAGTGTTATAGTGGGGGATTGCTTGTCCCCGCGGTCCACCCCCATGCCATCTCTCCGTTTCCTTTTTATTTCCCTTTGCCAATCAGAGATCAACGTTGCTCTTCCCCCAAATTCTCAATAGCTTGAAACGAAACGGAACAGGAGCAAAGGTGTTGTTCCCAGCCACTCTCTAGCCGACATATATATATTTGGGTAAATTTTTTAATTCCTAAATCTATAATCCCTAACCCTAATTAATTATTTAAGACGAATTTTTGTTTAATTGGTATAGAAATATAGAATCATATGGTAATGCACTAATATGGTTATTGGTTATTGATTATTGATATGAATTCTATGATTATTGATGAATGAAATTATGAAATTACGAATTCTATGAATATGGGTATACATTTATTCATATGATTAGTTGAATTAAATGTTTATTTGTTGAATAATTTGTATGCTTATTGGTATTGCCATATTGGTTAATTGAATTGTTGTCTTGGTTGGATATGGATTAGTTATTAGGCATATTAGTATAGTATACTCTAGGATTAAGAGTCTAATAATTTTATTGAGATTTTTATTCTATAAATTCTACAAATTACGTATGAACCTTATATGTTATTGGTATCAATATGATTGACTTTGCAGACTGAAACATCATGGAGAGGTTTTTCAAAAAAAATATCAATGCCGCCATCCCCAGATATTGAGAAAAATAATGATACTCGGGGATAAGATAGTACAGAATTTATTTTATCAAATCTTCCATCAGATCCTGGTAAGCGAATTCGAATTTCTAATATTT